TCTTCTATTATGTAAAAGAGTTATAGAAATAGTATATACATTTTCGAGTTGTGTATCATCACAGAGATAAAGAGATGATATCTCTGGCTAAAAACTCATTTATTATTCATCTAGATAAAAATAGGGCAGGGTATCTGAATTAATACTTTTGTAATAAAGAATAAAATTACGTAAGAAATTCTGCATTCAAAATAATATGAGAATGAGGTTCTAGATCTAAAAGTATTCTACTAATTGCAAAAATGCCACTGCTAGATTTCCCAAAATATTGAATGCTTCCACAAGTATAGAAATCAACATTTGAATAAGTTTGCCATCCTAGGATATAAATAGAAGAAATTACCATCTCTTATGTTAGAAGTTGCATTAAACTAATAAAGGAGAGTTTGATGAGTTTTATACACTAAAATAATGAGTAGTATCATTTTTAAATTTAAATAAATAATAAAATTACATGTTTTAATAAAATGCACATAATTTAAGATTTAGCTTATTATTAAATTTTATTGTTATATAAATAAAAATAAAATAACTGATAATTAAATTCATTATGCTTATAATTCCTTATTCTTGATATATTTACTCTTATTAATAAGATTTATATTTAATATAATTTTCTTAATATGATAAGAAGCAATTTTGAATTTCAATATATTAAAATATTTTTAATTCTTGAATTCTACAAAAATAAATGAATAGGGGGTTCAATTTAATAATCAGATCCTTTACAAGAATGCTAAAAGTGTGTATTTATCAGATAATAAAACATAAATGAAGGTATATTCTAAATGAACATTAATATCCTATTCTATTATTTAATAATAATATATTTAATTCCATTATTAAGAATAATATTGTAGATTACTTGATAAAAATTCCAATTTTATCTAAAATAGTGGATGAAATTTTATTATTATTGTTTATTAGGCTAACCTACCATTAGGAACAAATGCAAGAAAATTAATAATAATAGGATCATTCAAATAGGAAATGATATTATTTTCTTGTATAAATGACTTATTATGAGTATGCCTGCTCTTGATAAATTTGAGTATATGATAATATTGATAAGATATTTAAAATATATATTTAGATTGATTACTGTAATAAAATAATTAGTATATAATATGCATTGTCTTCGTTGAATAACAGCAATTTATTTCAAAATGTACCTTAAATCCTTGTAAAAATATTTGAATTTCTACAGAAATAAACTTTTTTAACAGCTTCAATATTTATCTGAAGAATGAATTATGATATCAAATAATTCTAATAATTAAAAAAGACTGAATATTAAGATTAATAATCATTTAGTAAACAAGGAGTAGGTTTATTTATTAAAATTGAATTAGATTTTAATCTTAAATTTTTCTTCTTGATAAAAATTTTCAAATAGCTGTTGAAAAAGGTTTAATCACAAATGATAAGAAATTTGGACTGAATGATATTGGCCTTATAAAATCACAGCAGTTCAATTACTGTATTATATAAAGGAATAAATGAAGTTTGCTTTATAGATCTCAATATAGGTTGAAGCTCAATATTATGGAAATATGAAAGGGTATTATAGTAAAAGTATGGGATTGAGTTTTGAAAGTACATAAAATATACAAAGAGGAAAAGTATAAATTGAACTAACTGCTATTAGACAATATTTACTATTGAATTAACTGCATAGTCGCCTGGTCTGAATTATTAACTGAAGTTGTTGTTCAAAATCAAATTACAGTTAGTATAAAATTAAGAATAATCATTAAGGAAGAACATAGAGTTGACACACAATTATCAAATCTTACTTACTTGTAGCTTTATCATTTGGCCATTCTTCACATCTTAGGTTAAGAATTTTATTAATGGAAATTTGACCATAAGGCTATCATAGATAAAGATACAATTAAGTATGAATCATAAGCTAATGAATTAGTACTCAGCATTCATAAAATAAAATTATTTAGAAAATAATTACCTAAATTAGATGAATATATTTACCATTGATGATATTATTTATCAATATAAAGAGTATTTTTATATTAACATTGAGATGAACTACTCTTAACATTACTTAATGAATGATTGGAAATTTTAATTTAAATGGAATCTAAGTTTATAGTCATGTCGAAATGAATTTTAGAAGTTGAGTTTTAATAAAATTTTAATTGTGAGGATAGATTTTATTGATTTTTGAAATTATTTCAATGTCAATTGATATACATAAAATAATCAGAATTCCATGTAATTAAATTTAGTTTGATTATTTTATTAAAGTAGGATTTCTGATTAATTTAATCATTTTTTGATCATTTATTTTATCATATTACAAATAATGAATCTCACTTTTCCTAGTAATATTTTATGTAGTTTCCATTTACTTTAATTTTAAAATTGTTATTCTAGCATATTCACAAAAAGATATTTATAAGCTTAAACTGCTTAATAATTTCCATCATCACAATCCTCTTATACCTATAGATATCCATCTCCACAAGTTAATTACTTTTTGCATTGATTTGAAATTAGTAATTAGTACTGGTAATTGCACTCTAAACAAGTACCTTAATAGCAATCAAAACAATTTTCTGGACAAGAATATTTGCAATTAAAACAACCATCATAGGGTTGTAGATTACCATCATCGCAATCCTCTTCTTTTGTAATAATTTGATCGCCACAAACAGAAAGACAAATGTTATTGACAAATTCATACCCATCTTCACATTTTTAAATACATTATCCTTTTTCACATCTGTTGCAATCTTCAATGCATTGAAATTTACATTCAAAACAACCATCATAGGGTTGTAGATTACCATCATCGCAATCCTCTTCTTTTGTAATAATTTGATCGCCACAAACAGAAAGACAAATGTTATTGACAAATTCATACCCATCTTCACATTTTTAAATACATTATCCTTTTTCACATCTGTTACAATCTTCAATGCATTGAAATTTGCAATTAAAACAACCATCATGAGGTTGCTAATTATCTTCATCACAATCCTCATATTATTCAAGAATGAATTTATCTCCGCAATAAGGGAAACATTTGTTTTCATATATGTAAAATCCCACTTCGCACTCTAAGCAAAATGAAAAGTAGCTGGTTTTACAATATTCAATTGGTATAAATCTGCATTCCAAACAATTATCCTATCCCCCATTAACTGTCAGTTCACATTATTCAGTTGAATAAGGAATTAAATTACCATCCCCGCATAAAGGATCACAATTAAATTTAGCATTAATAATAAATCCATCTTAACATTATAAACAAATTCCAAATTAACAAATTGAACAAAATTGTATGCATGAATATTTGCATAAATAACAAAGATCAGTCGATATTAGATTCCCATCATCACATTGTTCTTAACCTTGAATAATTCCATCACCACAAATAGGATGACAATTTTCTAGAAATTCATCTTAAATCCAACCTTCTTAGCAAATTAGACATTTTTCATCAATTTACTCTAAACAACCTTCATTAAAATTATTAAACATTGTTTCAGGTTAAGTGTAAAATACTTCAAAATCTCTTACAAAACTATATTCTGAGACTAATTAAGTTTTAATATTTAATAATAATATAGGATCCTAATGATTTCTTATAAATATTTCTATTTATTAATTATAAGAACTAATTGTTTATTGACCATAGAGATAGTCTACAATTATTACAGTATCATTATATTTAAAAAATCTTATTAATACATCTTAATGAGGCGGTAATTGAGTTGAATATTTAATTTCTGTAAATTACAAAAATTAGCAATTTTCACAATCAAAATAAGTATAATAATTATAAGGTGAAAGAAAAGTCCATCCAACAGAGTTTGTGATCAATTTCTAATTAAATGAATATTAATGCAGTTTCCATAATTAACACTTAGTATGATAATTCTCTATGCATCCAACACATCCCTACTAACATTTAATAATACTTAATCTTAATGATATTAATCCTCCTCTTTACAAACCTAAAATTACTATCCAAATCGCTCTTCTATTATGTAAAAGAGTTATAGAAATAGTATATACATTTTCGAGTTGTGTATCATCACAGAGATAAAGAGATGATATCTCTGGCTAAAAACTCATTTATTATTCATCTAGATAAAAATAGGGCAGGGTATCTGAATTAATACTTTTGTAATAAAGAATAAAATTACGTAAGAAATTCTGCATTCAAAATAATATGAGAATGAGGTTCTAGATCTAAAAGTATTCTACTAATTGCAAAAATGCCACTGCTAGATTTCCCAAAATATTGAATGCTTCCACAAGTATAGAAATCAACATTTGAATAAGTTTGCCATCCTAGGATATAAATAGAAGAAATTACCATCTCTTATGTTAGAAGTTGCATTAAACTAATAAAGGAGAGTTTGATGAGTTTTATACACTAAAATAATGAGTAGTATCATTTTTAAATTTAAATAAATAATAAAATTACATGTTTTAATAAAATGCACATAATTTAAGATTTAGCTTATTATTAAATTTTATTGTTATATAAATAAAAATAAAATAACTGATAATTAAATTCATTATGCTTATAATTCCTTATTCTTGATATATTTACTCTTATTAATAAGATTTATATTTAATATAATTTTCTTAATATGATAAGAAGCAATTTTGAATTTCAATATATTAAAATATTTTTAATTCTTGAATTCTACAAAAATAAATGAATAGGGGGTTCAATTTAATAATCAGATCCTTTACAAGAATGCTAAAAGTGTGTATTTATCAGATAATAAAACATAAATGAAGGTATATTCTAAATGAACATTAATATCCTATTCTATTATTTAATAATAATATATTTAATTCCATTATTAAGAATAATATTGTAGATTACTTGATAAAAATTCCAATTTTATCTAAAATAGTGGATGAAATTTTATTATTATTGTTTATTAGGCTAACCTACCATTAGGAACAAATGCAAGAAAATTAATAATAATAGGATCATTCAAATAGGAAATGATATTATTTTCTTGTATAAATGACTTATTATGAGTATGCCTGCTCTTGATAAATTTGAGTATATGATAATATTGATAAGATATTTAAAATATATATTTAGATTGATTACTGTAATAAAATAATTAGTATATAATATGCATTGTCTTCGTTGAATAACAGCAATTTATTTCAAAATGTACCTTAAATCCTTGTAAAAATATTTGAATTTCTACAGAAATAAACTTTTTTAACAGCTTCAATATTTATCTGAAGAATGAATTATGATATCAAATAATTCTAATAATTAAAAAAGACTGAATATTAAGATTAATAATCATTTAGTATTGTCTTTTTAAGGTTTTACTTTTTTAATCATCTAAGCCTATAGCTTATGAAAATATAAAAAGGAATAAAAATAAGTGTATTTTATATTTTATTAAATTATAAAATCAAAATGCCTAAAATTAAAATATTTTAATGAAATTGCTCTTCAGCTTTCACATAAACTAGAAATAAATCTTAATATATGAAATTAATAAAGGCAGAACCTAAACATATAAATATATATTCCTTATATTCATGAT